GACAAACGATAATACACTTTATTATTGCATCTACCACGATGAATAACAACAACCTTTTCCTCGACAATATAAAAGTAGTTCAAAAAAACATTTAACAATTAAGTACAGAAACAAGCAAAACTGAAAAAATCTCAAACTCAACATTTCTGCTCTTAATATTTGGGTGGGATATAACAATAACAATAACAATAACAATGACAATGACAACAACAACAATAACAATAACAATAACAATAACAATATCAATAACAATAATAACCATAACCATAATAGTATTACTTTTATAACGGCTATTTTAACAGGATGAGCCATAAGTGTATTAAACACTTATCAAAAGGGTCCTGTAAAAGAAACTATAGTGAAAATAAGGTAAAAAAAGGTAAAAAGGAGTACAAAATTAGTACAAATGATCAAGCATTTGTTAAATAGAAGTCTTGACGTTATGAATTGTAATTTGATTGGTAGTTCATTAAAAATGTTGGCTCCTTGATAGTGAAAGCTTGTCCCAAATTCAGGGCGAAATTTAGGTAGTTTCATTGTTAAACCATTGTACCTTGTGTTTTTAGAATGAAGTGATCTTTCAAAGTAGGTCTTAAAGGGAGTTCAAACATTATTTTGAAGACAGTCGAAGACAAACTGACTGTTTTTGCGCTTAATCACGTTCTCTGCTGATGGTAGTTTTAGATTGCTGTTTCAAATAATTTTTCAAACGTCGTTTTCAATGTTCTTTATCAGACTTTTTCTGGTGTCTGACCAACCAAGACCAAGCAATCCGCAATATGTAAAAATAGACCAGATCATTGTTTTATAGATAGTTGCAGCACATTTTTGGTCGATCTACGAACCCATTGACCTTAATAGGGTAGCTATGCCTGTTGCTTTCTTGTGAGTTCTATCAAAGTGTAATGTAAGATTGGCACTGCAAAATATATTTCGCTAAATATATTTTGTAGTGCCAGTCTTACAGTGTTTAAACGAAGACGTGATGTCTTAAAAGTCGTTCGTACGTTTTTCTAAAGATCGGCTTCATTGCACCCCAACAATATTTTTTCGCGCACACATTTCTTACAAAAGTTGCTAAAATGGAGCCGACAAAACTAATAGTAAATAAGACTTAAATTAATTTTCTTCCTTTCCATCATGTCCTACCCTCCCCCTTCCCTCACCACTCTGAATAGAAGCAATGAAGGGGGGCGATTCAGACTGTGGAATTTCTTCAAATGTTCTAATTTTCTAGAAGGAAAGGAAAACATTAAGCTTGTCTTTTTGTATACTTAGGTTCAGAGGTGACAGACATTACAGCAGGTATCTGATGGTAGAATGGACTGATAAACGAAGATATACACCAAAGGTTGATTTCCATAGATGTCTCGATGATCAGTCTCAAAGGAGTCTTTACACTTGCAGCATTGTCATAAGTGTTGGAGTAAGTTTCCTTATTGTAACTAACATCTCGGTTTTTAAAACATTTTGATTTTACGGATCACTTTTGTGTCAACCAGCTGGCTAAGCAGGCAGGCAGGCAGTCGTATAGCACACTAACGCCAGTTATTCTTTAAAGGGAATATTTGTAGCTGCTTTCACAATTTATGTCTGTACAGTATTCTCCTGTCGCTTTTATTTTAAAAACAGAATGATCGTGTAGACTGTACCCCTTTTGAACTTTCCATTCACAAGAGTGCCGGTCGAAATTTTTTCCTGGCGATATTTTCGGCCGTAAAGGGAATACTGGATAAAAACAAAGTTAAAAAAAACAACGACAACAACAAAACAGTAATAAAACATTACCGATGCCTTTGTCAATAAACAAAAGATAAGCTTGTTCGCAGGCTCTTTGTAGGTTTGTTTAAAATTTATGTGAAGATTTGATGGCAGTTATTGAAAACTTAACGTTTTCGACTGACTCCGTCTTTACTCGGTGTTCGGTGTAAGCCCCTTGAATTGTACTGAAATGCTGTCCAACATCCTAAAACATACATGTATATATGTCGATTAATGTTCTTTTTGTTCTTTACTTTTGTTTCTCAGCGCATGGAAAGCCAGCCTGGTAAGTCTATTTTGTTTATTTTTGTTAGCGTCATCAATGTCTTTTGAAAGTTTATTTCAGTTATTAAGAATCGCAACTAGTGGGAAGCAGTGACGAGTACCTCTTTGAATTTCAACTAAAGTTAAGACCCTAACCACAGAGAGCGCTCAACAGTTGAAGAATTGAACGAAGAAACAAGCCTGGAGGACCACATTCACAAACAATATGGCAAAAGCTCTTAATTTATTGAAATCAAATTTTCCTTAATATACACCCGATACACTGATATTCTACACTAAAAGGATGTCCTTTTACAAAACTTAACACTCCTTATATTAGAACTCAAGTGCGCGTTAAGTAATCACCAAATATCCACGGATTATTCACCGTGGCTGCAAATAAAGAATGCCAGCCAAATGTAAGAATGTAAGAATGCCAGGTAAATGAGGATGGAATTGGCAATCACCCTCAAAC